ACCTAAGTAATTCAATTCAATCGTAAATGCATTTCAGAATTTCGGTCAGCACTTCATGAGATCAGTCACCCACTGGATAAACGAATTATTCCAAGTGCTAAGAACACATGCACTACTAAGTACCTTGCGCAGTAGTCAGTCTATGCATAATTGCGTTGTAGATAAAGTAGTACGACCTCAGTTATTGGCAGGCTCCGGTTGCAATGACATTGGAAAATAGGGAAACTTAAATCAAAAAGCAATCGTTACTGAAATATAAACAGTAACGCTACAATAATAACAAATGGTTGGCACGGAGCGTCAAGATTGCGCTTGAAAGCCTAGGAGGATGAGCACATAACGACACCTGCAGGCAGAATATTCCAAGTTTCAACCACTGCGGAGGAGAAGCAGAGCCCCCGTGTGTTGAGCCCGGCGCCAGTTACATGCGATTTGCGTGAATGACTTCGGAGAATCGTTGTGGTTGCTAACTCAAGGAAGTCCCGAGGTAGAAGACACCAGTCCTGACCGCCCATTATGTTTGTAACTGAGAGGAAAGAGGTCAAAATTAGATAACCATGTTTCGTAGGGTAGTGAGCCCTGTCAACTTACGAGCTTATTTGAACGCCTTTGAACTTTTTCGAGGATGTCGAGGTCTTTAGTGGTCCAGGGTTTCCACGATTGAATAGCGAAACTCAACTGTGTCCGCACAAGCGTCTGAAAGACTTTAGCTAAGCAGCCCTCATCGAAGTTAGAGAAAGCCCGCTTGACATGGTCAAAGACTGATATTCTGAAATTCACCACCTTTGAACAGTGCTGCGACTGCTTAAACCCTAAGGGAGAAGGGGGGTAGAGAAGGCACCCTAAGCAAATCGTCCAAAATCATGTCGTCTTAAAGCACACCAAAGTCGAAACTCAACAAGTAACAACAACTTTTGCTTCCCTCCCCTCAAAAGCTGCTTAGATTCGTCTGCTAGATAATGGATAAGGCAACAGACCGAAAGGGAGGAAGGCGCGCTAGAGGATGGACATCAGTGCTCTTGGCAGGAACCGCTTCTTTGAATAAGGCCAACTGGAGGAAGTGGGTGTTGGCTATACCTTTTTCTGGAGCGGCTGCCCAAAGATGGAGCGGCGTGACTCGAGCACCGCCTCAGCCGCCCGGAACGGCATCGTGAAACGACTATCGTGTCTCCCGCGGGGCGCCAGCAGCCATTAAATGAACCTGTACCTGCCACTTCGGGGAATTACACTCGCCCCAGTTGTCAGTGTCTAGATCCTCCATCGACAACCAGCTCCGCCGGGGCCAAGACAAAGTTTCAGGAGACCCACACGTCCTCCCGGCGACTGTTTCAAAAGAGGACATGCTAGTTGTCCTTGGTGACTTCAGTGACCTCGACGGGAGAAACCACTCTGCCTGGAGGGGAGGGCTGTGTCCCCATGGTCTTCACCGCTGCAACGGCAATGACCTCCTCCTTTTGCTCACCTGCGCAGAACACCGTCTCTTCTTCTTCTTCTTCTTCTTCTTCTTCTTCTTTTTCTTCTCCCCCTCCTAACTATCACCCTTTTCCGCATTCCAACGCGAAAGAGGACGACCTGGATGCATCCTCGATCGCGATGATGGCAGCAGCTGTACTATGAGGACGATAGCACGCGCAGGTAAGTAAGGCGGTCTACGACGTCGAGACTGGACGGATCTACGCCTCGTCATCTTCAAGATCACGGTACGACCGACGCACCAGTGTCAGGAGTCATCTCACACACTGACCTGATTGGTCACTTGCGAATTCAGAGACTGGCGAACCAGTGCCCGGAGCACAAACCTACACCAGACGTATTCGCCTCAACTGTACCTATTGCACCTTTACTAAAGCAGTCCTCCTAACCACATGGTCTACCGTCTGACAGGCAAACCATTGCAAGAAGTCGACGCCCAGAAGGACTTGGGTGTATGGATCACAAAGTCGCTTAAGCTTTCGCTGCAATGCTCAAACGTTAGGTGAGAACTGCGGCATCAACTGGAGGGTAAAAGTCGTGAATGATTCAAAAAGCTTACTCTCCAGAAGTAGCGATCTTGAACTTTATATGAAAACCCGAAGCCTTGTCCGCTCGTATGTTACGCTCCGGTGATACCTTTCCGCTGTGACTCTGACTTGTGTACATGAATAACCGAATTTAGATGATACTTTAAAAAAACCTTTTATTAAAGGTGGAGAACTTGAAAAAAATTCAAATGAACGTATTTATCTGGTCTTTAAACATCCAATTAAGTTCCGAAACAAAGTGCGGCAGTTTAATTTATCTCTGAACATGTGGGAAATTTTTTCGTTCACTTACGAAGACAGAGAAATCGTAAAACCCATGGTGAATTCTAAGTCGCCGGACATGGGTTAATGAGACCTCTGTATTTGAGCATAAAGGAAATCTGACTTTATCTATAATATATTTCGGTTTATAGGATCACCGGAAAGTTTAACTAGTCCTTTATTCCAGTCTAGTTTTGAAACACGGGAAGATGTGACGTCCCACGGGCGTTCTCTCCCCTTGATAAAAACTGCTCCGCCAAGGTCTTTCGAACTTTTTTGCGGCCGCATCTGGAGTCTGTTCACCAAGCATAGGGACCCTGGACCTCTAAAGACCTTGGCGTACTCGAAAAAGTTTAACGTTGACCAACGACACTTCTATCTGGTCAGTGGTCACTACCCTACGAAACACGATTAGCTAATCTTGACCTCTTTCCTTTGAGTTACGGACAGCTACGTGGGGGACCTGATACAAACATTCCGCATCATGCGCAATCAGGGCTGCTGCTTTGCATCTGGAGACTTCTTCGAGTTGTCGACTACGACTAACCTGAAAGACCATTCACTCAAACTACGTGCGACTGGTGTCCGGCTAGACTCACGAAAGTCCTTCTTCTCCAACAGAGTAGTTACAGCTTAGAATGTTCTGCCTGAGGATGTTGTTATGTTGGTATCCGTAAACACTTCTTAACGGAGGCTAGATAAACATTGGAGCGCGCACTACAATAACGCCGGACTATAGCCATCTTGATAGCCAATGTTGACAGTTTATTGTTATGACGATGCTACTTCCAACATTCAAGCGTGCTTCAACTGTCTGCTGCATTTAATCAACAAACCAAGTTCATATGCCTTTAAATGCTGTTAAGGAATGAAATTCTGTGTTCATCTGTACATTTTTTGTTATTCCCTTTGTATTTCATTTATGTTATTTCCTTTTCATTTTTCTATCTACTTCCTCTGCATGTAACCAGTAGGGACTTCAAAGGTACACACCTACTTTCCCTGAAATACACTGATACACAGATTCTGTCATCACATGGGCCTATTCATTTACATGCACCTCCATGAGAACCTGCGGTGACTTATCGCAGACCAGACCACATCACCACACATTTCCCCACTAATATACACATCGACCGTGTATGTTCCCGGCATCACTCACCACTTTGAGAGATGAGTATGTTTTCGATTCCTTCTCTGTACGGCTCCTCTGCCACATGTGAGACCCGGGCTGTCTATCCCCTGTGTGAAATGCTGCCGTGAATATGAGGGCAGGCAGTGTGTTCGTCACGCGAAAACGGACCTCTTCAAATTCCAGAGTCAGTCGATTGACCGGCTCGGACAGTCGACTGATACGCGTCAAATGGTCAACGACTCAGTGTATAGTCCTCCCTATAAACAATTTGATGTGCTCGCATCTGTCATGTCCCGCTTAACGCTGTGGCTTGGATGTTTGCCAAATTACGCTTATAATCAGACCGTGCAGTGAGCCCAGTGTGTTTGTGCGTTGAGTCGGCTACTGATTGACTTAGATGCAGGCTGCAGTGGCTCCTTATAAATGTGGCCTCGGTGGCACTCTTACTCACTGGGACCCGAGCCCCTCTGGTAATACGCGGTTAGGTGCGGGTTTTCGCCGTGGCAGCCATCTGTGTCCTCTCTTGACTCTGCCATAACTCGGGCCCAAGTGAAGGAAGAGGCTAAAGTGAGATGGATACTGCGCAAGCGTATCATCGCTATGAAGTCACTGTCCCTGCCTCCACGCTGTTGTGGGGCGGACGAGGGACATTGTCTGGAACGGCGTTCCAAGTGTGAAACAGAGTACCCAGTCAGCTACGTGATAGACAGTACATATCTCAGAGAGGTGGTCTGTAAACGTCCCAGGTAAAACTTAACTGTTTGGAAAGCGTTGTCTCCGAGGAATGTTAAACTTAAGACCATGCAGGCCCCATGAATGTTAAAATCAGTTTTTTAATATTAATTATCCCTCAAAATATCTGTAACTTCGCCTACTCCTCATGAGCAAAACAATAATTTTTATTGGCACAAAGAGTCCGATTTCCGAATGGTGGCTACATTTGAGTCATATAGTAAAATGAAATTTCCTAAGGTCCATTTTTTCGTTAGTAAGCGGTTCCCCAACACTCGTCTTTCCTACTATCCTGAACCCACTCTCTATTAAATTAGCATAGAAACGATGCTTGAACGGGCTTCTGCTGGATTATTTTTATCTTTTATACCGCTGGAGTGGACATGATGGGTCGAAAAATCTCATTTCAATCGACTCCTTCATCATGCATCAGCGTGTTCCAGCGGTTCTACCGACGTCCATGTTTTCGGACAGGAACTGTTAGTGCAGTTTACCTGCTACTTTAAATTTGTCAGTAGGACGTATTATGTATATTAATGCAAGCACCGTACATTTTGCGCACTTGTATTTTACAAGTTGGATTGAAGGAACCCAGAGCACTAGCTTAATATAAAGACTAGGAAGAAAATATATAACGGGAGTAAACAGGCACATCGGCAAGTTGGCGGGAGAGGGACGAAGATCGAAAAGAGCAATGAAGCCATCACAACCAGGCATGATATCTTGATTGGCGAACACATTCCATAGATGATAAAAGAAATTGGTTGCTCATGGCGCTCTCGGCATGAAAAATCATGAAGAGAAGGGAATAAGTGTTTCTTTTGTGCCAATGTGAATAAATCTGCGACCGTTTACTCCGAGGTCATTAGCTTCTTGAATTCTGAAAGGAAAACCGAAACAGTGTTTAAACCGAGGTTCAAGAAATCCGAAAACGGGGCATTTATAGAAAAAACAGAATGCTGTTATTTTCTTTAGCAGGACCTGCAGGTCTCTTTTGTTCTGTAAAATTTGAGTGGACGTGAATTTGTAAACCAAAATCACATGTGCCCGCTGGAAGTTGAAAAACGCCATGCAGTTTTTTGGTCGAATATAGATCATGGAACTGTCAACACGAGAGGCGTGATCATCTAAAATGAATACCGGAGCATTGCGTAGAAGCACTGTTTACAAATCTCGCGTTTCTGCTACCTCCCTTTGCTGCCCTTGCTGGTGGTGGTTTAAAGGTGGGGGGGGGGGGAAATCCGAAACATCATCCGTTAATCGAGCCTTGTTCTTTCTTAACCGACAGAATAAAAATGCCAAAAATAGCCCTAAAAACGTTTAAGGCCTGCTCGCAGTGATGAGGCTGAGAACTTACCATCAAAGTCAACAAAGCCGGATCCGTCAGTGTCTGTGTCACGAATCATCTCGTCGATCTCCTCCTCGGTCAGGTCATCTCCGAGGCTCTTCAGGATCCATCTGAGATCCTCGACATCGATTTCACCCCGTCGGTTCTTGTCGAGGACGCGGAAGGCCTCTCGAAGATCCTTCTCATCCTGATCATCCTGCAGCTTCTTACCGTAGACGATAAGGAACCCCTTCAGATCAATGAAGCCGGTGGCTGTTGGTAGTGAAAAAGAAGGCAATGGTCGCAAATAATGACGCAAAGCTGACCGTCTACATACTCCGCTTGCTAAACAGTTGTATACAGAACATCTCTTTAGCTAGCAGCCCAGCGACCCAGACTTTGAGGTTTTGAGACGTTTCGTATCACCCCACAAAAGACAAGGGGGTCTGTGAAAAAAAGCACTTCGTCAGGCATGCAACCACAACTCCTTTATGCGGTTCGATCATTTATTGCGATGCTTCCGATAGACTTTGGAAGAAAAAATCCTTTGGTTTTTGGGGCCTCGCACACTTATGCACTTAAAGTAGATTCTTGCAGTGTATGTCATAGTGGAATCTGTAGGAGAGCGCACAGTTTTCTTGCTGAGGAATCGCCGTGTCATTTTACTAGTGTTTACTTCGAAGTTGCCATCCTCCAGCGCCATACATCACAGACGCCATCTCAACGTGTCATAACACAGTGACCAGCAACGCCTCCTTCGTTAGATGATGACGTGGCCCTTTTGCTTTATAAGGTTGGTCATGAGACCTCCGCAGTCCAGGACCATGGAGGGCGATGTGGTGTCGCACTCTCATTTGCCAGAAATCACGTGTCTCATGACCTTGAACTTTTCACGGCTTCAGCATCGTCCTGGCTCCCAGATCAGACTAAACGGGGAGCTACAGAAGGTAGGCTAACTCATGAAATGTCGACCGAAATTTCGAAATGCGTTCTCGTTTCGAAAAGATAAATCAAGTAGTGTTGTAAAACTAATCATCATGCGGTACAATTCTATAAAAATGCAGTTACTTCAGGGTACCGACTTTCGAACGAACTTGTTCTCGGCTGCATCCAAGAACTATACTCAGCAAAAAAGGACTACTTAAGTAGCATGCAATTTTCTTATTTCATTTTCGATGCCCTTGAAAATTCACTTGTATTTCATGAAAAAAATGGATAAGAGTATTCGTTGTTTTACTTATTCGGTAGAAAATTACGTTTTCTTCCAATTTTATACTCGAAAGAAAGGTATAATTCGGTTTTAAAAAACTTTTCTAACTCCCGAATAATTTTGAATCCGACCTGCTGTTACACTTGCATTCAGGTTTTCAAAACTACAAGCCGTATATTTTCCGTGTACGGAAAAAAATACATTTCTCTACGGTATTAAGAGGAGTCCATATGGGGTTCATAAAATTAAGCAGCGGATTTGAGCAATATTGTTAACTTTACAAGCCACATTCCTAAATTCGTTTTATGAACGACCCTCTCACGTTATTAAATAATCTCACAACTAGTAACTTTTGAAAACCGAATTATACCTTTCTTTCGAGTATAATATCGGAAGAAGACCTGATTTTCTACCGAATAAGTAAAAGAATAATTATTTGTATGCATTTTTTCCAAGAAATATAATTGAATATTCAAGGATGTCGAAAATCCATGAGAAAATTGCACCCTACTTAAGTAGTCCTTTTTTACAGAGTGTGGATTTTGTATGCAGTCGAAAATAAGTTCGTTCTAAAGCCGACCCCATGAGGTAACTGGATCATTATAGAATCACGCTGCATGATGAGAAGTTTAACAACCTTACTTAATTAATCTTTTCGAAACCAGAACGCATTTCGAACTTAGAGTTGACATTTCACGAGTAAGCCCACCTACTGTAGTTACAGCGTCCGCCTTGTGCAAGCAAGCGCGAGAACCCGAGGAAGTGGTCCGGAGAAACGGCGACTGAAAGCTGAACCTAAGTTATCATTAGTCAGACCACTTAGACAATTTGATTTACTGGACTACGAGTACAAAAGATTACGGGGACACAAGGTACAGTTGTTTATTGGATGTCTTCTCAAAAAACGCGGTTCTTTCGTACACGCCAGAGATCGGCATGGAGTGTACAATACGAACCTTCTTCTTCAGCCGAGTTAGAATGATGTCATACGGCAGTATTACTGATTCTCGCCCCAGCCCCTATCGGCTTGCAATGGTTTGTAACTAAGCCTAAATTGGACAGAATTTTCTGAGCGGACTGAATTGACTTTTTGCGCGAGAGATGGTGAATCCGCGTGTCGGTAAAGATGACCGGTACTCCTTCTCTCAAATATGTCGACTTTCCCCGTCTGGACGTACAGGAGGTGGGCTAACTCATGAAATGTCCACCGAAATTCCGAAATGCGCTTTCATCTCGAAAAGATTAAGTAAGTAGGGCTGTAAAGCTAGTTAGCCTGCAAAATAATTCTATGATATTTCAGTTACCTCAGGATGCCGGCTCTCGAATGAACTTCCTTCCGGCTGTACGCAACAACTGCACTCTGTAAAAAACGCCTATTATGTAGCATGACTTTTTCCTCATTAATTTCCGTTGCCCCTAAAGGTCCAATTATATTTCATGGATAACATGCATAAAAATATTCATTCTCTGGCTCATTCGGTAGACAATTACGTCTTCTTCCAATCTTTTACTCGAAGGAAGGGTATAATTCCGTTTTCAAAAACTTTTGCAATTCACGAATAATTTTGAACCAGCTCTACCGTCACACTTGGATTCAGGATTTCCAAACTACAAGCCGTATATTTTCCGCGTACGGAAAACCACTCATTCTCCATGAAATTTAATTGGACATTTAGAAGAAAAATTCATGCTACATGAGTAGTCGTTTTTTACAGAGTGTAGTTGTTGCATGCAGCCGGAAGGAAGTTCATTCGAAAGCCGGCATCCTGAGGTAACTGAAATATCATAGAATTATGTTGCAGGCTGACTAGTTTTACAACCTTACTTAATCAATCTTTTCAAAACGAAAAGGCATTTCGGAATTTTGGTTGACATTTCATGAATTAGCCCACCTTCTCTACGTCGCCGTTCGTCAGGGCTATCAGACTCTCAGGTTACCCCGTCAATTCTGTGAGCATCAGTCACAACCCACCGGCTGGCTTCTTAATCGATCGATACAACGAACGGCTCAACAGATTTGATGCATTACAGATCATGATATCGGGTTTGCATCGCTGACTTGCGTGGTATGCTCGACATTTAATTTCCTATGTTACAGGCCGTTGAAGTTGATTCAAACTTTTAGCCTTTCTAACTGCCCGTGGACATTTTTTTGCTTTTACGCAGGATGATGACTGTACAGTCCTTAGAAGTCGGGATTTTTTCCTATCTATTCGTACTTTATTTGACACCAGTTGCCCTACTACACTCGTGCATCCTTGAAAAACCTGTAAACGTGTGTCAATTACGCATCTCAAATATCAGGACATATGCGCTCTTCCCTAGTCTTGAACCCGAACTTTCGTTTGTACTCTCTCCGAAAATTTTGATCACTTCAAAGCAAAAGACCTAGTCTTTTTCCCACTCTCAAGTACCTCAAACAGGTACAGTCCGATGTAACTGTTTATACCAGTTGATGCAAGTAGTCTGACTCTCTGAAAGTACTCAGGACCTCCTAGATGGTTGTCAAATGGTTCACTAACAGTTTAATTCCGGTCATCGCACTTAATTACGATGGACAGCTTTACAACGACTAGTTTCCTCACTAATCTATAGTGTTTGTGACCTGCGAAACAGTCCATGACGACCATCCCGCAAAGCAGACTTCCCAGACAGCGAGACTAAGGGACAGATCAATTGTACTCCTCTGAATTCATTCAGTCTCTACTTCTATAAGCAGAGCAACTGAGGTAAATAATTGGTCGCCACGGAGAGAGGCATCGCTGTCAAGTTTGAAGAAGGGTACTGTGAAAGGCCTTTCCTGTTCAGTTCAGCGTATTTGAGGAACAATAGGTCTACATCTTTAAACTCCCTATCTGGGCATCTGACGGACCGTGTATCCGCAGGGCAGTAACGATGAGTTGCTGAAGGCCGAGTTCCCTTTTACAGAAGAAGAAAGCGATCAGAGAGGGAGCGACAGATAGGCATGACGATCGTGAGCGATGATTACCGGTAAAAGCAGTGGGAATTGGGTGAGAACGGAGTTAGCTGAAGAGTCTCAGATTGAAGAGGGAGAGGAATATATGAAAGTGCGAAGTAAACAACAAGAGGTATGCACATCTACGCGTTTGCCGCGGCAGGGCGTGAGTGGGTTAGACATTTTTTTAAAAAAAATGTTCGCAGGCTTACCGTCATCGTCGACCTGGTCTGCCCACTCCTTCAGAAGGTCAGGCTTGATGGTGAGATTGAGGGCACGGAAGGCCGGACCGAGGTCGTTTGTGCTGATCTTGTCTTGCCCTCGCTTGTCAAACTTCTTGAAGACCTCTGTTGCCACTGCAGGTGACGGTCGGGTGATAGGAGAAGAAAAAAAGTCTGACATGAGTAGCCCCCACACCGGGGGTGAAAGTATAATATTTTGTTAAACAAGGCTTCATTGTAGTAGGTCTCCCTCATGGTTGATGCGTGGGTGAATGCCAACAAAAATATTTGGGGAAAACTAAAATCAATCCAATTGCCAGTCCAATAGGAAGAATAAATCCTAAAGAGAGAACTGCACCCAATACGGTTCACCCAATGGATTCCAGTGAGATAAATGTCCCCCTGCCCGCTAGTTTCGTACCTCTCTAACAAAAACGAAATCTAGTCAGGTGTTTGGCACAAAGAGCTAGAAAAATTTGTTCAACAGAAAGTATTTAGGAGGAACTTATAAAAATCCAGGACTTTCTTCGCGAAAACTGGTATCTTGACAGGTCCATTGAGAAGAAGCTTGTCGAACGACCCGCAAAACCCACCACACTGACCGCCAAAAATTTTTTATTCCTCAAAGTCCCTTTCCAAGGAGACGCTGCAAATGAACTAAGAATACGCCTTAACCAAGCTGTCTCGAAAACTTCCCACCACCAAAGGTTCGCATATCGTTCTCTATTAACCCTAGTTTACGCGGAGAAGGCAAGGCTAGGCTGCCGACTCAGACCGCCTCAGTGTGCATCTACTCATTCAATTGCTCCTCTGGAGCAGGTTATATTGGTCGTACGAGCCGGCGCCTTTCCGAAAGAATACAATAACACCTCCCCGCATAGCTGGCAAAAGGTGAAACTAGGAGAATAGACAGAGCCATCCTTGCGCATGCAGTGGATTCAGAGTATCGTAAGGACTCGCTGAGACGTTTCGTTTGATTTATACGGTCTCTCGAGCTACCCTAAGCTACTGGGCCAGTGCCTGTTAGTAACAGCAGAAGCGGCCGTCATCAGGTTGCGAAAACCGAGCCTATGCGCACAGAAGAACCGAGTTCAGGCACCGCGCTTACCGTGGTCAAAGGTTGACTAACCGCATCCAAATTTCTGCGCCCTTCCGCTCTTGCGCAGCCTGTATTTAAAAAAAAATCTAACTTTTATCGGTTTTTTTCACTCACTGTACCTATCCTAAATAACTGTAATGGCCTGACGAGAAGTTATCGAAAGCAACGTTCGCTCGCCACTTTGTTTTCCGAAAATATTTCGTCTGACCCTGTATCCACCGCAGACAAAACTCACCTCGCGCGTCTTACAAAAAAAGTCTTGACCATCGCGGTCCTGACGCGCACCGCTTAACCGCCACTGCTGCAACTATCTTGCCTCCATCCTACCACCATCAGACTCGTTAGTCTCTTTCCTCCTCTTCTCCCCCTATTTTAGCCTTCAAATGACAATCCACCACTCTGAAGCGGTGAGTGAGCTCTCAGAATGCTACAGTCACCACCAGACCGAATCCCGAGTTGTAGGAAAATCGCCAGAATGGGGGCGAGGGGGTGGTTAATTTATACGAAACCCGGAGTTGTCCTCTCACACAGCACTGGCCGATAAAGAAGACAGGACTGGTGTTGACTGCGTCCAGGCAGGTCAGAGTGTCCCCGAGGGCGTGGTGGTAGCTTCTTTTGTAGGTCTGTCGTCTCCTTTCTGCTATCATAGCTTGGCCGACTTTGGCCTGGTAGGTGGTCGCCTGTTGTTGACTCCTATCGCCCAAACGAAACTCGTTTGCTTCGGTAAGCCAGTGGATCGGTGTGCGTCCATTCCTGAGTAAATAACTGCCCGATCTGCAGTGATAGGGGATGACAGGTAATAAGGCAATGATGAACTTCGGTTCGATGAAGTGCTTATGACCCATCTGGTAGACCCCAGTGGTGGATCAGCTGCGCCAGGTGCGTCTGTGCGCATGCTTGTGTTTCCGGTCCCAGCTGGTGGTCAGGGTTATGGTTGGCTGAATGAAGGCAAATAAGCCCGAAATAGGGCTTTATCAATCTACCCCCTAGACTCTGTGGCTTTTCCTTTGCTATCGTCGCTTGGCCGACTTGACCTGGTAGGGGGTTGCCTGTTCGTGACCCCTATCGCGCATACGAAGCTCGTTTGCTCGGGGAAGCCAGTGGATCGGCGTGCGTCAATTCCTGAGGGAATATATTTATATATGCAGGAGAATTTTGGATGAAGACCAGAAAGACCTTGGTGGCCATTTCTGAATCACCAGTCGTCTTCAGCAGGTGCTGTCTTAATCCGGGTTAACAAATCACAACAAGCAGGAGAGGCCGCATCAAAAACCTCATGTTGGAAACGATGAACTTTTTGGAACAGTCAAAGTAAATTGTTCGGTTTATGAACTCGCTTCGCTGTCTGCTTGCTTTTTTTCTGGAGATAACAGAGGACATAACACGTTTGATTCGAAAATATGTGCACATTCCCTAGCAGTAATTGATGCGATGTTTTCTAGCGGCCTGTTAGTAATAAAAAGATATATACATATATATCGGCACCAACGGCCAACAACAGCACCGCCCACCATGCCAAAGCGTCCACAGGCACGCACGCTGGCCCAAGGTGCTGAATGGGGAAATAATCCAAACGCATTGGCGGTTTAACGCAATCGACCAATCATGTGGCTGCACCGGCCGCACGCAGATGGATGCGAAGCGCTGCACGCATAGTGCTGACGCGGACAACGAGGACGTGGGAGAGGAAATCAATAACTTTGGGCGCCGTCCACCAGGGCGCCGGGGAATTTTTAAGGCGGAATTACTGCGTATGCCGTGGCGGCGGAATTCGAATTCACGCGCCGACTACGTTCATGTCTAGTTGAGCATGGAAAATGGTATTTTTGACTGTTTCTACACAGACTGACTGTACAGACAGGGAAATGGTTATCGATGCCCGTAATTAATGCATAAACTGTTGATACCAACACTCTTCACAACGGATGCAAACGTTGGAGAGTACAGTTCGGGTTGCGGCAGTATAAGACTTCAAACACTTCGCAGTATTTTAACGAATCCAGACTAGAGGGAATGAGGCTGGATGTCGGTCTCTGAGGGCGGGTAAGAACACACCGAGCCGGATTCCCTGTCACAGTTCATCGGTTTTGTTTGGCAGATAACTATCTAATTCACTTTTGTGACGGACAGGTTAGGATTCTTGGACTACATGTTGGCAAATGGGTCCAGGGTAGTGCAATGTCATGCTTTGGGTACGAAAAACCAGTTTACCTGTGTACCTTTATATGGGCGTTTTTTAAAGCTTTTTGTACTAATGTGTTGGACTTTCGAAAAATGTTTGTCTGTGGTTAATTTCATGCGTTCGTGTTTACAATATGTAGCATCATTGCAGGTGGAAAAGAAGAGAAACAGACGGGTAAAGGAAAGGTCTATATAAACCCTTGAAACATTTGGTCACGATAGAGACAACCTAAGCTCAGAGTGACCTAAACTGAGCCTTTAATCAAATAAACCAAGGATGCTCAGCGGACGTCTACGGGCATATCCATGCGCGGTGATAAATACACAAATACCTAAAGATCCGGCCGACAACGGTAGGGTGAATGTCCCCATTTAACTGTCAGCGGGCCGTGAATCGTGTCATATGGGAATGGTGGTTATGGGGGGTTTTACGGGTGGGACAGTACGTCAGACAGTAAGTTGACAAAATTCAAGAGAACCCAGAAATTGTGTGGATTCCTGCCGGAAGTCAAATCACGCGCCTTCGTATTGCAACGGAAATAGATACTCTAATTTAAGAAAATAAACAAAAAGCACATTCTCAAAAAACACCGGGGTTGGAGTAATGGTTTGAAGTCATGTGAAGTAGCTGCTATTGACAGTGTAGTGTCCGCCTCCGAATGTATGCCAAGACAAAACCTCACGTGGCACGACTCTCAGTCTACAGAGAGACAACTGAGGTCCTTCACGCTACTGTTGCCCAGCGGTCAAATATGCATACATAGCAAGTAACATAATCATTTTCCGAGTTAAACGAGCGGGGACATGTTCAGCCAACCGTCTGTTTCAGCAAAAGTTTCTTCATCTATTTAATGGGTCTCCTACCTTTTCCATGTGAACTCTCGCGTGCAGTCTTCCTGCGAAGCGAAGACCTCGCAAACCTGCGATTGGACTAACGGCGGCTAATAAGTAGGACATAACATTTGGCCGACCCGTGATTAGAGGATATATTATTAGTCGTTGTGCGGATGCTGGCAGGTATAGAGCCTGTCTCATGGCCCGGTTGGTAAGCACCCCGCTTTCTCAAGGACAACGAAGCCTTGGCTCAATGGCAGTCCGCTGGATAATGCGGCCTTAGCCTCAATGCCTGCTTGCTTCAACTACACCAACAGATACTACTAACAAAAATTTGTACGCTTCAGGGGGCTGACTCACTTGCCGATAGAATTCTGAGCACCTTACTGTATTAAAAAAACTTCCCAAATGAAGACAGTTAATACGCGCTGTAACAAATTTGTAAAATCCCAATGAGGGAGCTTGAGAAATGCTAGTCAAGGCAGCATACAGGAGTTCTAATAAAATGCTTACTGGCATATTTGAAAAACAAATGCCCAAACATGCTTTAATTTCACTACATTGTAATGGATTGGAATATTTCTGTAGTGCAGCTGGAGCTGGTTTCATAGTTGAACCACTGTGGGCGAAGTGAAGTGAAAAGTTAACAGCAACCTCCTGGCGCAGACCCATTTTTCCGAGACAAAAAAGTAGTTATGTTACCAACATGCGCAGTAGTCCCGAAAGTACTAAGGGTTTGGAAAGCGACCTCACAGTCAAACTAAATGGATTAATTTTTTTCTGCTCTTCTTCATGTGATAGTCTGTGAATGTTAGGGAGCTTTGGGTCGACCAAAGTAAGAAGAAGCAAATGAGTGATGCTAGCAGAAGAAGCTCGGGAGGTTTTTGACTTACACTTGACCTGCTCCTCCTGAATTGTGAAGTCGTCCATTTCAATTGCCTAAATAGTAAAAAAACGCGTTTACTCGTGTAAAATCGATTTGTGTCTCAGTCTGTAAGAACCTATATAAACCAATGCACAACACTCATATTTTACATATTATAAATCCTCCCTTTTGAATTTATCCCAAATAACCTGTCAAAATACGTCGCCGTATTGTCCGTAAGAACATGCTTAGCTGGCAGGCGATTATTTGGTTGATTGGAATGCCGATTCTTTTTTTAAAACTGGCTCAAACGAATTATTCAAATCTGCCAAAAAACACCTGTCAAATTTGAATGCATCTCAGAGCATGTGATCGATCAATAAAAAAATGCAATCTTCGACAAAAAACGCGCAGAAAGGCTAACCGAGTGTTTAAAAATTACATTTATTTTAAAGAGGGACGCCGTTTTTACAAGCAGGTAAATTTGGATGCGAAAAATGCAATTGAATGCGGAAATAATTAAGGCCACGCATACAAAACAGGAAAGAAGAAGCCAAGTCGGGAGGGTTTCCAAAGTACTTCTACTGGTGACATTAATACACAGCTACAGTGAAAAGCCTACGGAGACAAACCTTATTTCATATATTCTAAGCAAGTCGAATTAAAAAATCTAATGCATCTGTTTAAAACCATGTAAACGGACGAACCATTTTGTTCAAAAGGTACTTCTTCCAACCTGTCCTTTGGTCACTTGATGGAGGGTCACGTTTCAACCGTGCACAGAACTGGCGCAACCGGGAGTTCAACGATTGACGTCGATAGATCGGATTCAGCGCACTGACCGAGAGACGGACACTGCGAGCCCTTATCCCCACTCCCGTTGACACGCCCCTGTCCAATGGGCTGCTTCCAACGGTCAGCGCGCGCGGTCGATAGTCCGATTCTGATTGGCTCCGTGGTGGCAGCACTGCAGCGGCGTGCTGCTGCAGGTCGGGACAGCCGGGAGGTTGGTGCGTGCAGCGGCGACGGCGGTTGCCGTGACTGCGGTGGTAGCGACAACCGAAAGCCTCGATATCCACTCGAAAGTCCTCCCAATCGGATCCTGCGTGGTCGCAGGAGCCTTTGCGCTGGCGACTGGCCCCGTTCACGGCGCCGCAGTTTGGCTGCCAGTAGGCTCCAGCGGGGTTGTCGCTGAATGATAAATGCGGAAAGTCGTTCATGCAGTGAAGGTAACTGTCGCCGGTGCTGTCTTTGTGGTTGTAATCGGCGGCCTGGGTCAGCGAAGGGAGAGTTGGGGTGGTGAAGCCCATGGAAAGGCCCGAGTCAGCCGAATCGTGCCAGAAGGTCAACGTGTTGGTAAACTTTTGGGGTGATGCCAGCACCGACTGTTTACTTGACCTTGTGTCCAGCAAAGTCATTTGCTTGGCTGTGTGTCCGTCCGACGATCGACCTTGGCCCGAAAGGAGGCTGAATAGAACAAAACATCACGTGCGCTGTAAGACCATCAACACCAAAGCAGGCGAAAGGGTTATGGTCTCAGAAAACGATGCTTTCCAGTCACTTTGCTAAATATTACAGGGTAGACAGGAAGTGCATGAACTGCTTTTCAAGACTGAGAATAACGCGCGCGGGCTGGAGGCGCGAATCGCGAATAACAGTCTAGCAATTAAGAGATAAAAAAAATACGTAAACCAGCAGTCACTTCCGATAATCTTATTCTCTTTGCCAAGTACTTAGGTCCTTTTAAAAGCATCACTACAGGCTACCTCTAGCTTTTAAATCTTGGGTCGGTTTTCATCATTCGACTGAGAAGTACTAAATGTGATCCTTACCACATTTAAGCTCATAAGTACATCCTGCTTCCTTGTGAATATTGGAGAGGGGAATCGACGGAAAGTGACTGCCGGGTCCATACAAAGAAGCAGGGGCACACCCGTTTCCGATTTATTCTCAGGTCCAATGACTAAGATTATGGGCGTTCAAGTCAATTTTTCCAAGGTCTCCGATTATGAAGTTTTTCAGATTAATACGTGCAAGATCGTGAAAATGTGTTTATCAATGATAGTCCGCGCAATAGCCATAGTGGGTAACCATTTGAAACATTAAGAACCATCCCCATCTTTATCTCGACTCTATTCATGACTGAAACTACTGTGTAAGGATGGTTGACTCCAAGCATCACTGCCGTTGTCCTGAAAAGGGATTTTGGGACTTCATAAGATGGAACACATTGTATACATTAATTTGCAGACATTCGCTTTTAGCTGAAGACGAGTAGTAGATACACACTACTATACGAGGGTAATTGGTCAAAAAATAAGGTTATTTTGGCTGGATGAGTATCCAACATGACGGAACTAGATTTGAAAATCGATAATCCGAAGCTGCAGCCAGAAATCCTACTCGGATCGCTTGGTCTATGCGCGGCTTAAGCGGTGCCCACCTTGGGGTAGGAGAGTCGGTCACATAAAAAGTCTAGCAGGGGCTTCTGATATTTCCCGATTTTAGGAGATAGTCATTTCCAAAATTGATTTATACTATTGATACGATATTTGGGCCCTCGCTTACTACCTCCGACATGACCATGTTTCTGTCGGCAAAAAAGACCAGATAACTCGCGTAGGTGGCTGAACATCAAATAAGACCATGGGTAGTTTTTTTAATGTTCCCTTAAACCTGAAGTCATTGGCATAACTGTGAAGACAGGAACAGTGGCTACCCGTAGACTGTCGTATGCTGACGCCAGTATGACGAAGTCTGAAAAAACAAAGTCAAATAAAAAGCGCTACCAGCTATGTATCAGTAGAAAGGGTGTTTGGAATCCACTTATGATGAGAAGACCACGAATTTCATCGTTGTATAAGGCTATGCGGGGTGAAAACAGGGGTCTAGATGAAGATCCAGTTAGATTTCTCGTCCTTTTGCCTCTACCTCGGTCCTTATTAATGAAATATCACGAACAAAAATCTTCCTGTCCTCAGGCCGTTTAAATATTTGTTGAGTACTTCGGGTAAACCTCACTGTCTAATGACGAGGAAAAACCGTATCGGAATAAGCTACTTAATACAATCAGAATTCATTGGCACACAAGGCGAGCAGGCAAGTTTTCGGGGTAAAAACTTATTCTGCTCATTACTCGATTTCATTTATATGAGGACAATGACGCTGGTACTTCCAGGATGCTGCGATGACGGACCACTTACGCATTGCGATAAATGTATATGCTTTCTCTTGACTAGGATGTCATGCTTGACTGCGTTAATTTCTTTTGGGTTAACCCCTTGAAAAACTTCCATTAATTTTTAGTAACCTCATAGGTTTATGTTCGTCGTTGAGTGAGGTGCTACGCTTGCTGTCTGAAACTTGATTTTCCTGACTAGCCACGCTCGATGGCGATATTGCTAGGAAAGTTCTATTGACTGTAGTCATGACCGATCAAACCTTTTGTCATGAAGTGAGTATTTTGAAATGGTCTTTGAAGTACTTCCTCGTAAGCCATGACGCTTGTACGGCTTGAACTTGCTAGAAGTGAATGGCTAGCAGGAGACTGGACAGTGAGACTGGCCATGCGTTAGCATTCGTCAAATGTTAAGCCCGGCAGAATCAGTTAGCAACGTGTGTTTGGCGCGCGTAGACAGAAAATGTACGCCTAATTATTCATTGCAATCTCGTTCACTTATATCTGTCCTGGAATCTTTACCTAATCATAATTACATGGGTGACTCGAATGCTGCGCAAGTCTCCCACAGTATAAAGCAGTTAATGCATCAGCCCATACTGTATATCCAGACGATTTTGGTTCCTTTAAGGTAAGGTAATACCATACCCACAGCTGAGGTACTAGCCAAAAGCCCATACACGCGTGTTCCGCCGATATTCTGACACTGCACAGCGCATTTCCGAGGGGTTCGGCTCGTCCGTGGGGTCCCCCTGAATTCCCCGTCTGTTTTCTGGTAGATGCTCTAATTTCGAAATTGTCCCCTTTTAAATTTCCTCAGAAATTATATAAGAAGTTGGGATAGATCACTTTAATTGAGGTCTATAGGCTCAGACCGAGAATTTTATGTATGAATATTTGGACCAACGCCCATCAGCTACAGGGGTTGACCGCGTAATGTTCATTAACTGCAAACAGGCAGCTAGTAGTATACTTCAGGTTAAGGTGATACCATACAAACAGACCTTGAATAAACTGATCTACTCCAACTTCGTAGATAGTTTCTGAGGAAATTAAAAAGGGACAATTTCTAGATTGATATATCTACCAAAAAACACACAGGGAATGTTGAGGGACCCCACTGACGAGCCGAACTCCTCGCAGCTGCGCCATGCAGCGGCAGAATATCGGCGAAACACGTGTGTATGGGCTTTTGACTAGTACCTGTGCTGTTAGTATGATATCGTCTTGCCCTAAAGTATACTACTAGCTGCCTGTTGGGAGGTAATGATGATGAATGTGGGTGATGAACTGTGGCCCAAATATTCATACATAAAATTCTCGGTCTGAGCCTATAGACCTTGAACAAACTGATCTACTACAACTTCGTAGATAATTTCTTGGAAAATTAAAAGGTGACGGTTTTGGTGCCCATCGACTTCGATGACCGAACTCCCACCTAGGGCTAATACAACAGCCTGAAACGGTCTGGGGTAAAGACTGGCTACTGTGGTGTGACGAGTACTGTTATGATCTCCAAATCTCTGCACGAAATGTATACGCACGCAGTACCGTAATGGACTGTCGCGAAGGAGTATGACCCGGTTTTTTTTAATGATCACTGGCGCCAAGTTTAAGTGCGGAGGAGCCTGACGTGAGATCGTTTTTTGCTTTCATTTTTATAAACCTAGGTGCGTGAAGAATCAGATCCATCTACCCCAGTGACAGCTCCCAATTCCACCCGCCCCGGACACTTTTGAGGATAACGTTTCTTTGAAGCGACCGACCCTCTCTTCTTCCACATGTTTACGTTTCACCCGGTTCTTGCAATAAACACTTGTTATATCGCTTGGCTTGTCACATGATTGGAGGGTATTAATTGATTATTGATGTCGCTGAGATTGAGATGTAAGATACCCAAAAGGGAAAAGACGTACCGGACCGCGTAGCCGTACTTTGAGTTCAGTGAAATGTTGGAATTTTAGACGAATATTATCATTTACCTTGTTAGTTAACGCAGTCGTGGCGGACAAGTTGGTCATAACAAAGTGCATTACAGTGTATGAAAAATCAAGGAGAATAAGAGGCTCTTTCATGGTGGAGGGGTGCTAATTGATCGTGCTAGGGGAGTACCTTCTCCATCTCTAGCCCAACAGCCAGCTACACAGGTGTACCGGAAAGCGCAAGAAGGATTTATAGCCAAGTGCCCATTGTCAGCCAGTCTAACCCAGGCTTAGCGGAGCCTGGGATTCAAACGCAAAATCTTTGGTCACTGGGCGTGAATATATCAAGAAATCTACTCGTAAACCACCAACACGATGTAACACTGCGCCAAGCATTTAGATGAATTTTCGTAACCTTTAAAATTACAGTAGGTGGGCTAGCTCAGGAAATGTCAACCGAAATTCCGAAATGCGTTTTCGTTTCAAAAAGATTAATTATGCAGGGTTATAAAACCAATCATAGTGCAGCATAATTCTATAATAATTCATTTATCCCAGGACGCCGGCTTTCGAACGAATTTCCTTCCGGCTGCATATGAAATCAACACTCTGTAAAAAATGACTACCTATGTAGCATGCATTTTTCTCGTTGACTTTTGATGCCCCAAAAGTCCAAGTATATTTCGTTGAAAGTATGCATAAAAATAACCATTCTTCTCCTCATTAGGTAGCAGATTACGTCTTTATACAATCTCAAAGCAAATGGCGGAATCGAGAGATCCGGTTCCAAAACGCAGTCCAGAAAAAAACGATGCCAGCATTAGAACAAAAATCTTCCTTTCCTGACGTTTTAAATCCGCCACCTGAAGCATCCTCACACATCAATTATGAACGCGCAGTGTTGCAAAATTTCTAGGATTCAGTGAACCCATCAAAAGTGGCGGCTCCCGCATTCAACGCTGATAGTTGCGCGCTTTGCGATAATGACTTGATGGCCTGAAACCGAGTAGTTAATTTGCGCACTTTCATCCCTCGTTTTAGAGTTGCAAAAATTCTCATTGAAGAATTCAAAAGACAATTTGGCGGGCATACCCAAGCTTTCGATAAATTCTCATCAGGCCCAGACATTCATTTTGCAGTCGAAAGGATTAAAAGGAAAATGCGGGCATGCAGAATCTATTCTGGGGCTGGGGTTTGGGGGGGGGGGGAGGAGGGTCCGGGTGAGTGTGGTAAAAAACAAAATTACCGTCAGTGTCAGGGAAAGACGCGGATGACGGGCACTGGGACGGGTAATTATACGCAGGTGGCTGGCATGGTG